AAGCTGGGCATCGTATACAACCTTTGGACAGTGTTCCCTTAAGCATTTTAGCTTGGAATGTTCAAGGGGCGTTGAGCTCAGCAGGGGGTTTGGAAGCTCACGAAGGTCGCATTGCTCGCCTGTCGCAGATGCTGCAAAGACTAGGCGTCAGCATTGCTGTCCTTTCGGAACCGCGGCTTGCTGAAGGGATGCGTTGGCCTGTATGGACGGGATTTCATTTCCATGGTTATCGGCTGCACTCACCTGGATCTGTGGCTGTCTTGATTGTTGCTGACTTGCAGAGGGTTGTTCTTCCCATTTCTGATATGGGTGATGCCAGAGCCATCTGGTTGGAAGCGCGTCTTAGTGAGCACGAGCCTGGATTGCTGATCCTAGCAGTGTACGGGCCCCCTTCTAACCACCCGGACCTTGAGCGCATTGATTTCTTGCAACAAAGGCTGCTTGAATTGCAGGCGCTGCAGACTCGTGCTTGTTATCGCAATTGGGAAGTGGTCGTTGTTGGGGATTTCAATTTCCACGATGGCTTGCTGTCTGAAAAGGATAGATCTTTAGAGAAGCCGGTTGATAGAGCATTGAAGAGCCTCCTCGTTGAGGACCTTCCTAATGGGATGAACCTCCAATTGCGAGGACCTTTTGACGGGCCCACACACAAGTCCGGATCCACCATTGATTTGGTGTTTTCTTCGGAGGGTTTTTTTCCGTCTGTGCAGCGGCTTGACCGCACAAGCCTCGAATTACGGTCTGATCACGGAGCAATTCTTGTCACTGATCTGGGTTGTGTCCGTTTCTCCCCGCTTTCTCTAGTGGGCAGATCTCGCTGGTGCCCCCATGTGGAAGACTGGGATCGTGCTTTGTCCTTGGTCTCTACATCACTCATGTTCATCATTGATTGGATCTCTGCGATTCTTCATGACACGTTCATTCGTGATTCTGTGGTTGAAGGAACCCAACGTGCACTTAGACAGGCTCTGATCGACAAAGTGACCTGGTGGAGAGCTGCACTTATGGTTATGGCAGGCCACATGTCTGGTCTTGCCGTCACTAGCAGGGCTGATGGTTCTAGTGCCGGGTCAGGTGATAGGCAGCGTGTTGAGCAGTTTTTGCTCAACTGGTTTGGAGACAGTCCTTGTGATGATCCCTCGGAGTGGCAGGAAATCTCTGATTGCGTATTAGGTTCAGATCGGCACTCTAAGGTTTTGCGGCTTTTGAAGCTTCAGCAAGAGTGCCCTGCCAAAGCCCAAACCTTCTTAAGCAATCTGCTGAAGCCCAGGCTTCCTTTACAGCTAGCTGTTAGGGAAGATGGCACTGGCAACATTCTACGCGATGCTGACGTTGTAGCAATTCTAGATAACAACATTCGTACTCGACACTTGGAAGCTGAAGCAGGCGACGCGGACTTTACTGCAGCTGTTACGGAACAGGTCCGCATCTGCAGGCACACTGCACAGGAAGAGGCGAGACACGAGCCACACCTACTCGTCTCGCAAGATGAGGTTGACGGGCACATCAACTCTGTACTCCAAGGGAAGGCTTCACTGAGGTTCCCTCGCGCTGTACTTCGTTGCAGCGCCGCGCCGGTCAGACGGTTGCACTGCCTGCTCTTGAACCTGTTCCTTGCTTTAGGGTTGATTCCTAGCTGCTGGCTTAGAGAAATCTCCCCTATCCGCAAGCGTGGACCGCCTGTTGTTAGTGATTTAAGCAATCTTCGGCCAATCAGCTACACGGACGATTTGGAGACGCTGTTTGACTTGGTTTGGCTCCACCGGCAGCGAAGCGCATTGGAAACCTATGCAGGCATGGAGCAAGGTGGAGGCTGCACCGACAGCTCCCTGATTGCTCTAGGACTAGTGTTGGCACTGCAGGCCCGCGCTGCGTGGCGGCTTCCCTCGTTTCTCCTTAAGTCCGACCTCCTGCAAGGTTACGATTTAGCTTGGAAAGATGCTATCTTGCTGCAAGCAAAGTGGGCTGGAGTAAAGGGTTGCTTTTGGCTCTGTCTTGATTCTTCTTTTTCACATGACCAGTGCAGGGTCCGTTTAGGTCCTCTTCTGGGTAGCACTCTGGTGCTGCTTGAAGCTGGGCTGGGACAGGGAGGGAGACGCGCAGTACACCTTTTCAACACCCTGACGCGAGGTCTCGCTGAGGAAGTCTTGACTAGATGTGCTGGAGCTGCAATAGGTGCAAGCCCTCTGATGGTAAGACCGTTCCTTGCCGCCACTGAAGTTGAGAGCATGCACGCTGCCTCACGGCCCCCGAATGTTGACAGGATCGGTCGCATGGCGATTTCTACCTCGGGTGCCTTTCTAGAAAATGATTTCGCTTCAGTTGTTTCGCCCAGGGCCAACCGTGCTGAGGCTTTATTGACAATTGATGTTACTTCGCCATGGACACTCGCGCTTGTGCAGTTTGTCGATGATGTCTTTTGCCTTCAGTCTACTTGTTGGGGGTTGAAAAGGGCTTGCCTAGGTCTTGAGGCCTTCGCTCACTTATGGCGCCACAAATT